CCAATACCTAAAGGTGGAACAGAGATCCAAAATGTCCTTTTAAAAATCTGTTGGATGAATCATATTTTGGAGTAAAAAGACTGCTTCTAGAATGATGCAAAAACAAATGTTGAACTTTTTCCTTTCCAAAAAAATTGTTTTTAAAAATGGAACATTAGCAAGAACTACGAGGTGAGGGATAATAAAATGGTCATTTCTTTTTACCTTAGACGAGACAAAAAATGGAAGTGCATTTCTAAACCTCACAATATAAATGGCAATCCAGAAAAAGTTTCCAGAAAGAGTGCATTTTCTGCTGAGGGATTAAACATCAGTACTTTCAAAGTAATTAATGAAGTGACTTTTTGTCTTTTTAATTTTATTTTTTTAAAGAAAACTGGTACCAATTGTTTACCAGAAAATAGCATGATCTTTAAGAAAAGTTTTCCTGATGAATATTTTCGTCTCTTCCCAACATCTTTGATGTAAAAGGATTGAGAACTAACTAGATCTTTTAACTCAGAGCAACATACGTCATGGAAGGTGTTAAGAACAGAGGATGTCATTAAATTGCTGTTTGGGGTTTGCTATCGTCACTCTCTGCTACCACCAGGCATTAAGGTGATGATAATAAACCTAAGAAGAGTAAGTAATCCCCACCTCCCACCTTCTCCCTGTCAGCCTCCTAAAGCTTCCCACCACCTGGCCAGGTTAAATACACTTCCTTGAATTAGAGTATCTGGGAGTAATTTTTCTTTATTATGGACATTTTCAAACACATAGAAAAATAGAGTCATGAATATAATGAGAACACATATACTTGCCACTTAAGATTCAACAGTTCTTACCATTTTGCCATATTTGTTTCACTTTTTTTTTTTTTACAGAAGTATTTTAAAGTAAATTACAGATGTCATGATATCTCACACCAAAATACTTACACATATATCATTATCAGGGATCCTTCCTTATGTGTGAAAGGCTGTGTGTATCAAACACTCTGCTGTCAGAAGATGTCAGGGTGCTCTGGTAAGCTCGGTTGTTCCTCAACTATCTGAATCCTGTTGTCACACATAGAAGTTAACCAGGACAGGGGTGCCTGGGTGGCTCAATTGGTTAAGCGTCCGATTCTTGGTTTTGGCTCAGGTCACAATCTCATGGTTTGTGAGTTCTAGCCCCATGTTGGGGGCTCGCAGCCAGCTTGGAATTCTCTGTCTTCCTCTCTCTCCGCCCCTCTCTCATTCATGGTTTCTCTCTCTCTCTCTCTCAAATAAATAAATAAATATTTTAAAAAAGAAGTTAATCAGAACATTGCTCTCATACTCACAAAGAGAAAGTTTTGGGTGGAACCCAAGGAAGGTCTTAGGTGTATTCAAATCATTCCTGATTGATCTGGAAAGAGGAAACAACACCTTAACTAAATCCTCAAAAGACACGAAGTGGGGAAGTGTTATAAACACTAATGATGCCAGAGAGAAAACACAAAGCACTTGGGGGAGGTAGAAATTTACCTGAACAATGTATGTTCTTAACGTTTGAAATCAAAATTGTTTAAAGCATTACTAGTTACAGAAAGACTAGGCACAGTATTACCTGGGACAGGTAAAACACTGTATCTGCATATTCATTTAATTGTATAAAAAATCGCTGTAGTTATTGCCCCCACGCTGTGAGAAACATGGCGCTAGACTGGGTACAGGGTGGGGGTGGGGTAAGCTGCTGAGATGTACAGACAGGTCCTCCCCCTCCACTGGGGCATAACTGAACTGGAAGTATGTCAACTCCCGAGAGAACGTCTGGGAGCCTTGGTTGAGAAGCGTTGGCTCACTTACGCAGAGTAAGATAGCATTTTCAATAGGCAAAGAGTAAAAGAAGCAGATCTCATTCCGTTTGCTCTGTGCCGGGGTCAGGGCAGGCTAACTGCAGATGTTCTGCGCAAGATGGTGGGCAAAGTGGTTGGGTAGTTTGCTTGCAAAAGTCTGCCAGTTCAGTGATTTTGTCAAACAAACGGGAAACAGGCAAAATGAGTGACAGTAGGTTCCAGAATGTTCAGCCTGCCTCAGTAAGTGAAATATGTTTCTGATTCAAAACAGCCTAGATGGTGGCTGGAAACCAAGGCCTGATACCCCGTCTGTGGCTGGTAGACCTAACTGAGCACCCACCTGGCTTTCCAGACATCAGGAGGAAAAGGTTCCTTATCCATAACCCCAGTGACATCTACGTTTTTTTGACTTAGGAAACACACCACCGCACCACCCCTTCCCCCACACCATGGGGTTCACAAGACAAGCACCGCCTTCTTCTTTCCTGACACTGCCGCCATAAGGAACGCAAGGCTACGTTGACTGAGTCGGCAGTGAAAATTGTTTTCATCCTCCTGAGAGGAGGAACATGTTTTCTTCCCAGAGCGCCCCCTCTTTGGAAGAACACAGTCTCCTGAACTCCCTCCTCCAGCCTAACCCCTGGCCCTGAAGCCCAGGATCCGCTGATGGGCGAGAAAACACATGAGCTCACTGGAGCTTATATAAAAGCTCCTGGCAGGCCTTCCCAGGAGCATGCTCGCATTTGCCTTGTCTAGGCAATGTGATTTTTCTTTTCTCTGTCTCCCCAGAACAGAGAGGGCTATTTGTACTACTGTTCATTAGTCGTTTGGTAGCATGGAGGAGGAAACACAGTGTTCCCTCCTATAGTCCAGTGATTCAAATTGGCACAGTTTTCCTGAGGGGGAGAAATAGTATCTAAAAGACAGAACTCACCTGCATGTGTTGAGCCCCTCGGCTTAGTCCTTTTCCATGAGGAGGCCGTACGGCCTCTGTCACTGCAGAGGAGCCGTGAGAGCAATAAGGGCCGAAGCCTCCTCCGCATCTCCAAGGACTACAGCTCAGGTGTCCCTTCTGAGATGTTTGTGAGCAAGGTCTAGAGCAGAGAGAGACGGAATGGATGGAAACTCCCGTCTTCCCCCAAAGGTAAAAATAAAACGTTTATGCAGATCTCTCAGGTGTTCTCATTGGCAGGAAATTGATCCTGCCTCCGGAGGACTTGGTGAAAACTCCCATCCTCCCTCTGACTCCATTTTCTTGAGGGAGGAAAGAAACTTGGGGGAAACTTGGGTACTGCATTCTGGAAACTCAAAGAGAAGGGAGGAGAGAGAGAAAGGAAAGGAAATCCATGAGCCTCACCTCGAAATTCACTGGGTGTTTTACAAGGCTCCCAAGAAGAGAAGGGATTTGGTTCTTTTGCCGCTGAGGGAAGAAGAGGAGAGGCAGGAACTGGGGAGCCTTGGCCATGATGGGCTCCACTGTGCCACCCCCGTCGCTCCAGCCCTGGACAGCTCAGGGCAGAGCCAGACAAAACGGGGAGCTCAGCCTGTGCCTTCTCATTCTCCTTCCTGAGCTTCACAGGCCGTGACCAATCCCAGGACGCCTCCTGCCCCCACGCAGGTGGGGGAATGCGCTCTGCTCTCTCTGCTCAGCCTTATCCTGCGCCTCTCCTGGGCCAGCACTGCTTCCTACCTGACACCAAGGAGCAGGAGGGACTTGATCGAGGGTCACATTATGTCTCCGTTTTCCCACCTGTGGGATGGGGCCAGAGAGGGTGGTTCATATATTTATTAATTTATTCGTCAATAAATACTGTATTATTAACCAATATCGATTTGCCAGGCACTGTACCCTAACTTCTTACTGTGTTTCAGTGCGGCTCTCTTGCTTTTTCTCAACCATTTCCCAGCACATTCTGCTTTTCCCAACCTGCACCACCTCCAGTGCCCACTTCTTCCACATTTTCTTCTTTCTTTTATTCTCATGATGTTTCTCTTCCCTTTTCTCCCATGATTCTATTTTTAGAGCTTTCATACATAAAATCAGAGGATCCTAAGGATCTTAAGGGGACATTTACCCACTTTGTTATCTCCAGGCAAGTCTGTGCTGAAAAGGCCCAGGAAAGATCAGAGAACATCATCCCGAGCCCAGTTTTAGGATATATTCAAGTGTCTTGCAGCTTCTTCACATCAAGAAATTATCTCCAATGCCTAACTGAAACCCCTGTGTTCCATACTACCCTCCTTTTTCTCTTTTCCTTTTGGGTCACATCTCAGGCCTTTGTGGGTATAGAACCACTGAGAAGGAGGGGTGCCTGGGTGGCTCAGTCGGTTAAGCATCCGACTTCAGCTCAGGTCATGATCTCACGGCTCATGGGTTCGAGCCCCGTGTTGAGCTTTATGCTGACAGCTAGCTCAGAGCCTGGAGCCTGCTTCGGATTCTTTGTCTCCCTCTCTCTCTGATCCTACCCTGCTCACGCTGCCTCTCTCTCTCTTTCTCTCTCTCTCTTTCTCTCTCTCTCTCTCTCAGAAATAAATAAAACATTAAAAAAATAATAAAAAAAGAACCACTGAGAAGTTTAATGCAAAACAGCATAGCCAAACATCCCACAGCAGAGGATATGAGCTTCAATATGAAAACAATAGAACCAGGAACAAAAAAGGGACCAGAGACCATGGCAGTTAAGTAGGTTCAGCTTCTGTGAAATCAACAAGAAGAGAATAAGCAAAAACCCACAAGCATAACCCTACTGGAGTCACGACTTCTGATCGACTACCTCAATTAACACAAAAAGTCCATTGAGCAGGAAGTTCTGGAGTCAGCCCTTATTGTTGGAAAGGCTCTTCCTTCGATGTCGTCAAGTTCAGCCTTGCACATAGAGTTGGTAGCCAGCATTGGTAGCACAATGTCAATGCTCTGTCGATTGTAGTTGAATAACAAATAGTGGCCATTCAGCTCTGGCTCCAGTGCCACCATGTGCAGAATTCCTTCCAGAGCCATTTTCCCAGGCCTCTGGGTAGGAGGCAAGCCAGATCTACACTTGGACAGGGCCTGATGCTCCAAATGTTGCCCTTTTTGATCTGAGTAAACCTGCCAAGATTGCTCACAGCTGATAGAGGCAGTGTGCCTAGTGGGTTGGTCGCCTGATGAGGAGGCGGATTTCAAAACCTGCACCATTTTCTTCCTTCCTTTCTTCTCCAGATGGCAGGAGATCTGACTAAAGAGAAGAAGGTCCTACAGCAAGTTGCTGACCCAGCTTATAGCACAGCTGCCCTCTTCCATAGAATGGGAAGAAACGACCTTTTGTGCCTCTGTGTACCGTCGTCCTCAACGCTCGGTAGATACCTCAGAGAAAGTGATGCTGTTAGCAAGTAATCATGATCCCAAAGAAGCCACTGCTAAGGCAGGGGCTCTGATGGATGCTTTTCTTTCTCCACAGAAAACAGGACCCTCCTATCTTGGAAAAGTCTGACAACTGTTCCATAGAGGCTGCTGTGCTTCGAAGGGAGCCATTCCATGTGCCAGGATGGTATGAGGGGTGAAACCCTGCCTGGGAAACAAGAGCAACATGGGGAGTAGGCTACAGTCCTGTCTCAGCCACATGGCCTTGGACATGTCCTTCAGCCTCCTGGGGCCTCTCTTTCTTTGTCTACCAAACAAAGGGGCTCTAAAGACTTTCCCTCTTCAATGATCTTGCCTTTACCTGGGGTAAATGCTGCAGCCAAAGGAGAGGGAGCAGGCCCCTTGTTCTTCTGGGTCTCCCACCAAGACTTCCCCCAGCCCTGCTACCCTGAAGGGCTACTCCTGGCCCCTTAAAGAATCTTCCCTTCCCTCTTAAGAATTGATCATGCCCAGAAAACAGCAGATTTGGGGGACCAACATGAAAAAAACCCTACGAGAAAACTCTGATAAGTCCTCCACCTTTACACACACACACACACACACACACACACACACACACACACACACACACATACAAACACTCATACTCAATCCCTGAAGTATAAACATCTTCCCTTCTGTGTATCAAACCTATCTTCCCCTCTCTCATCGCCACTATGTTAGGAGAGAAATCATTCCCACCAGTGGAAAAGCACCACTTCCTCTTAGAGAACTTAGCTAAGCCTCAGTGTGTGGGGGTGGCCCTGGGCATAGGTTACAGTGGAAGGTCCTAATGCACATCAGCCGCGGCCCATAAATGCAGACTCCACCAGCCGAGACTGAGGCAGTAACTAGGTCACACAGTGCCGGGTCCAGATCCTTCGCTCCTTGCTCGGCCACCTCCACAGCCTCCTCCACCCATAGATATGCTGTTCGTAGTGGTGGCTGCCTGCTCGAGCCTGCCTGTCTGCCTGCATTGAGTGCCGTACAATGTTCTGTAATGTACCGTGTGTATGTATGTCCTGACTCTGTGGTTTACTACAAATAAAAGTGACAGCGGGTAGCTGACCTCTGACCTCCGGGTGGTTTCTTTTCAAGCCACTGCTTGAGAAATATGGGCTGTCTCAGCAGCCACAGAGCACTGGAGACAAGCATGCTCTTCTAGACTATTCGGTTGCCTTTTCACAGGTGCACACTGCCAGGACTAGGAAGAATGGGAACTCTGTTGACACTCTCTTGATGTTGGAGGAGGGGGAGACAAAGCCAAAAATCCTATTAATAATCAGCCTTTACTAAACATTTCATATACATCGTTTCACTGATATCTGAAAACTGCCCTCTGAAGTGATCAGCATTTTTAGATGAGGAAACAAAGGCTCAGAAGTGGTAATTAACTTGCTCAACAGGTAACACAATTAACCCAGTTCTGTTCTCATATCCCGATATATTCTTGCTCTTTCCTTTAAACTAGTATTTCTCCAAGGAGGGGGCGGGGCATGGACTGCTGACATCAAAAACACCTGAGGTCCTGATTCCTGGGCCCCTATCAGACCTTCTAAATCACAGTCTGAGAGTAGGACCCTCAAATCTGATCTTTTATCAGCTGGGCTGGTACATACATCCTTGTGCCCACCGCATTGCACCCTGCTGGGAGAACAGGACCAGTCTGGGAAGACAGACACCAGCCAGGGCTTTAGAACAACCCAGAAACTGGAGGCTGTGGAAGAGCGCCGTTAGATAGAAGAGATCTGGAAAGGAAACATGTCTGGGATGAAGTGAGGCCATGGGCTTCACGTCAGAGGTGGCTGGCCTCTTGCCCCAGAACACAGACCCCAAGAAAAGTCCATCAGCTAGTCCCCGGGCTGAGCTGTCCCACGCCAAGGGTTCAAACTCACACCTGGGCGGGGCTAGGCAAAGAAGTGTGGGCTCAACACCGCAGCCTCCCAGAAAGGACTGCAACGGACCAGCAGCCTCCAGAGGAGGCACGTGGATGCATAGCCACTGCCTGCCGGCCGCTGCTACCTTATCTGCCCCCACTGCCCTGCCCAGCCCGGCCTGCTCGGCCAGTCCCAGGATCTGAAGAGCCATTGTCTCGCCTCTCCAGGTTCTTCCTGCCACAATTTACCAACAGTGTTCCGAAAGACCCAGAACTTCTGCCCTGAAGTCTGTCTTCTCCAAGTCTCTACTGTCACCCTCAGGGCTGGGCGAGGACTCTGGCCTCAGGGAGCCTAACCAAAATGTTACTCACTCCTACCCAACCCGTCCTGTCTCCACCTGGATCTGCCGAGTTCTATTTTGTGCCTTAGAGTCTCTGTGGAGGTTTCTGAAATGACAGTCGAGATGTTTGAGGTGGGGCGCTGTGAGCCAGAAGCGGGACTGCTACTGGGGGCAGGACGAAATACTGCAAACAGCCCCACAGCCACTCAGCTGGGCACATTCGGCTATGTTCTCACCGTCCCCACTGCAACACTAACTATGCGTGAAAAATATTTTCTCCAGAAGGATGGCTTTTCTGGAATCAAGAAATCAAGGAAACCCCTCCTGTACAGAATTTGAGATGACCAAATCAGCCCAACGTTTAAGTTATGAATCCAGAAAGTGGTTTATGATATACAAGTCTTATAGTGAGAATTCTCTCCACTCTGTAGCTGGGGAAAGAATTGTGTAAACAAGGAAAATGCTGGTCCATTCAAGAACAAAGGCCCCTTAGCATTTGTGTTTGCATTTTAAACAATAGCGAAGAATAAGCCATTTGCTGTAGCATTTACAAGATTTTCTAACACAGGAGACTATTTCCGCTCCTTCCCCCCACTTCACAGGTTACAGTGTGCCTTTAAAAGTAACAAAACTGCCTTTGTCTTTAAATGCTCTTTCCTCCTACCTTCCATTAAACCAGCCTATCAATTATTACAGAAATATTTCTGAATCTAAAACCCTAAAGGCATTCACAGAGGGAGCAGAAAGTCAAAGACAGCCAAAGTGGATGGAAGATCAGAAACATCAGAGAGATTAGAAGGAAGTGATGGTCTGGGAATTGGAGGGTTTGCAGAGAGGCCCCCGTGTGACCTCCCAGCCAGAGCCAGACCCGCAGCACAGCACTGTCCTGCACACAGCCACCTCTGCCTGAAGACTTCTGTTGAAGGGCAGCCCACCACCTTCCCAGGGAGCCCCGTTCAGGAGCAGTTCTCTGAGCCTTAGATAGGCTCCTATTGGACCGGAGCCTGCCTCCCAGGGACTCCCATCCATTGAGCCCTGGCTTGGCCACTAGCTACCCAAAATATGTGTCACTCTTCTGTGGGACGGCATGCAGATATCTGAGAACAGTGACCTAGCCCTCTTTGTTTTCCCCTCTCCAGACTAAACATCCTCTAAATCCTTAAATCATCCCTTATATGTCATGACTGCCAGACCCTAAGCTATTCTTACAACTTTCTCTAGAGCAACAACAGTTTGCCAAAGATCCCTCTTAAAATGCGATTCCCCCAGCTGAACCCAGCACGGCGCCCCAGAAAAGGGCAGACAAGTGCAGAGCCACATCCCTCGCTCTGGACTCTCCATTCGCTTTCTTTGGCAGCTGAATGGCTCTGCTAATTCATTCTGCTCTCGCAGCTGCCATCTCTCACTCCCAGCGAATGCTAGTGACTACCACTGGGGTGGTGCTTCACGGATCACCAAGTCTTTTCAGAAACGTGGTCTCATGGACTCCTCACAACAGCCCAGGAGGGTGATTGGAGATGAGGAAGCTAAGGTTCTTCCAAGGCCGCATGGCCAGGCCTCAAGCCCGGAGTCTGTGGTTCCAAATCCTTGCTCCTCCACACACACCCATGTTGTCTTTTCACTTGAACTCCTGTTAAGGCCAAGAAAGTCTCCCTGGCTTCATTTGCTAGTGCCTATTCAAAATCTTTTTCTCTTTTCTGTTCCATTTTGTCTTGTCAATGTATGCCCATCCTTGAGCCCTGTCCAAGTCTTTTTGACTCCTATTTCTGCCACCCCCTGTATTAAAGGGGAGACATTGGGTCGGAGAGAGAAGGGAGCAGAAGAAGATGAAGTACCGAACAAGGGGATTCTCTGGGAGGAAGGAGCTGGAAAAGGAGCATCTCAGAGAAGAATGGGCAGCATGTATGTTGGGGGGGAGGGGGGGAAACTGGGTTCCAGACCCCTACCCACTTTGGCTGGCTCTGCTGCACTAGGCAAACTGCTTAGTCTCTCATAGCCCCACTTTCCAAGGAGGAAGCATCTGAGTGAGACTAGTCCATTCTCAAGACTTTTCCAAGTTTCATGAATCTAAGGTAAGAAAAGACCTTACTGTTAATTCAGTGGGTCATCTTCTCTCTTAATCCAGTGACTATATCGAACATCAGATTTCACTCCATATATTTCACATGGCTTTCTTTTGATATAAGAAAGAAAAGCAAAGATGGCTAGGGGCCATGGTGTTAGGCAACATGTATTTCAGTTGATTGCCAGCCAGGGTTTGGCGGGGGGGGGGGGGGGGGGGGGGGGGGGGGGGGGGGGGGGAAGGATTACAACAATGACTTCTCAAGATTCTGGNCAGGGGAGCGGAGGGAAGGATTACAACAATGACTTCTCAAGATTCTGGACCCGAAGACTAAGAAAACCTCAAGGAGGCTGAGCCAAAAGCTCTACAACTGTCACCAGACACCCTCTCCATATTATTAGAGGACCAAGGGTCCCACAATGAACAGTGGCCATTGGAATGACATGAGAAGGGAGAGACCGTGGTATGCATCTCTTGTGCACCCTCCTGGGGAGGTCACATGACAGATGTTCTTGGATCGTTGTGCTAAGATAGGAAATCTCTTCCCATGTTTTTATTCTTCTGGAGCAAAGCTGTTCAATAGAAATATAACGTGTAATAAGGTAAGTTTAAATTTTCTAGCAAGCACATAAAAAGAATAAAAGGGAATAGGTGAAATTAGCTTTAATCATTTATTTTATTTAGCTCAGAATTTCCCAGATATCATTTTAACGTGTAATGGATATAAAGGTATTAATGGCTTAAAACTCAATTACCTACATACTTGAAATAATTTCAAATAACTTGAATAATTTAAAGACTTGCAAATAGTTAATTAAATGCTTAACATCATTTTTTGTACCAAGTCTTCAAAACCCAGTATTTATTTTACATGACAGCATGAGCCTGGGGTGAGTGGCCACCATAGAAGCTCTCGGTGTCCTGAATCGGGCGCCTCCCCCATCACAGCCCTCCCCAGACTCCATTGTGATTGTTTCATGGTCTGCATTACCCATCAGACTGGAGGTCTAGGAGGGCTGGGACTGTGGAGTTAACTAACATGTTCCCAGCTCCCAGCTCCGTGTTTGACAGTGGATATCATAGGTCCTTGATGAACATTTGACAAGGAAGGAAGGGATGCAAGTTCACATATGCAAGCAGTAAAGGGAAGACATTGGGTTTGAACCTGTGTATCTGACAATAAAACACATCATCATTTCACTGTATCTTGCTTCCTCCTAAACTTCCAGAAGCATATGCAAAGAGCACAGTGTTAGTGCCAAACAGACTGGGATTCAAATTTCAGCTAGGTG